TTTAATAACTTGACTTTTTCACATTGGACTTTTATATAGGAGTCACAGTGAGTTGTTTGTTTTCTGTTTTTTTTTTTTTAGTTTAATTGCTTTTAAGCAAAAAAAGAGTAAATAATAATTTTATTGTATGCAAAAATTACGTAATTTTTTTTATTATTTTCCCATTAGGGAAATTATTGCAAAACAAAAAAAAAAATCAAGTCATTTATAATAAATCATTGATAATTTTTGTTGGGACGTTGGAAATTAAGTACATACATATATTTCCAGTTTAATAAATACGAGAGTAATTTAAAAATTATTAATTAATTATTATGTAGTTTTATTAATAATTGTGTTCAATTTCCCGACTGGGTTTATTGTAAGAGAAAATATTATCCCCTACTTCCTTATAAGAAAAATATTTCAATTAATTTTGTGATAATTAACTATTAAGCGATGTATATTTTTAACACTGAGAAAAATTCGATAACTTGATCACAAGTTGTTTCACAGTATTATAATCAAAATGGAAAAGATTTGAAATCTAACTAGTTGTCAAAAGTAATATGCCTAATAAGCCTTCTAATATGTAGTACCATTTTAAATTTTTGGCCTCTAAATAGTGCTATTTTAAATTATCGATCTCTAAATAGTCTCTTTTTCAATCACCGACCTTTAAATTTTATACAATTTTCAATCGTCGCCTTTTAAATAGTTTCACTTTCAATAGTCGGCTTTTGAATAGCACCATTTTCAATCACCAGCATTTTAACAGTACTTTTTTTTCCTAGACCCTTAAATATTCCCGTTTTGTATAATTAGACTTAATATATTCTAATTTTCAATCGTCGGCCTTTAAATATTCCAGTTTTCTATTGCCGGCCTTTAAATAGTACGATTTTCAATAAACGGTCTTTAAATAGTTAAATTTTCAATCTTGAGCTTTAAATAGTCCTATTTTTAATAGTGGACACTCAACTAGCGCCATTTTTTTATCGTATTTAAGTGGTCCTATTTTTAATCGTGGTCCTTTAAATCATCGGGCTTTAACTATTGAGCTTTAAATAGTCCTATTTTTAATACTGGACACTCAACTAGCGCCATTTTTTATCGTATTTAAGAGGTCCTATTTTTAATCGTGGTCCTTTAAATCATCGGGCTTTAACTATTCTTAGCTTCAATCGTCTGACTTTAAATAGTCTTATTTTCAATCCCCAGGCTTCAACTAGTACCATTTTCAATCCTCGGCAATTAGTACCAATTTCAATCGTCTTTGAATAGTCCCATTTTTAATCTTTGTCGACCTTCAAATAGTCCAAATTTTAATAGTTGACCTTCAACTAACACCATTTTCAATCGTAGGCTTTTTAATGGTTCTATTTTCAATCGTCGTCCTTTAATCAATTTCAATCGCCGTTCGGACTTCAAATAGTCTCAGTTTCAATATGTGACCTGTAAATTGTCCTATTTTCAATCGTCAGCCTTTAAATAGCGCCATTTGCAATTATCGGCCTTTAAACAGTCCTATTTACAATCGTCAGACTTCAACTAGTACCATTTTTTTGTATCCAAAGATTTGGATCTCGAAGATATATGTAGACAAAAGGACAGACAACATACAGATAGAGAGACGTATCGGTAAACAGACCGACTAACAGATAGACATAGCTAAATCGATTGTATTATCTATAAGGATTCAGAAAAAACCTTCTGAAATATTAATTTTCAAAAAGTTTTGGAACTCTATGGGATATTCTAGGATCTATGAGGAATAATTTAATATACTCTTTATGCTAATTATTTTATAAAGTTGTTTTTTTAACAAATTTTTGAAAAAACTAAAAACATTCTCAGCTGTTTGCAACAGCAATTCACTTGTTAGCTTTAAAATATGTATGCATTAGAAAAAATATGCACTGAGAAAAAAAATCACACAATTTTCTCTCTCTCTTTCCGCATAAATAAAGTAAACAAAACAATTGTCTCACATTTATTGTTGTTTTGCCACAAATAATAACAAACTCACATTAAGTACAATTTGGTTTAGAATAAAATGAAAATGTTTTAAAGCCAAATTGAAATTCACACGTTTTTTTTAATACTAATACTCAGTTGTTGTTTTTTTTATTTTATTTATGATTATTTATCTTATTTTTGCTGCTGCTGTTGTTGTTGTATGTATTGTGGCTTGATTTTTTGAAGTCATGTTTAGAAGTGAATGCCAGTCAGTTAGCGGGCTGGTTAATAAAAATATACAATGAATAAATACAAACTGTATGTACATATGTACGTATGAATGTATGTTTGAATGTTTATTGTAGATTTGTTGTTAAAAATACACTATATTTGTACTGTTATGTATTAACTGCTGTTGGTGCTTTTTTTCTCCGCATTGCTGTTATTATTGTTGCTGCTGTTGTTGTTGTTACATAGTTACACATTATTGCTGCCTGCCTGCTGGCTGGCTGGTAAACTGACGGTTTGACTGTTGTTAGTTTGTTAATGTTCCTGCTGCATAATAATGTAAAAAAAAAAGTAAAACAACAGCACCACCAACATCAACCAGCCAACAGCCAGCAACATTAACTATGTACAACAACTTTAGAAATAATTCACCAACAACAAACAATCAAGTAAAATGTTTGTAAGTATGTATGTACGTAAGTTGTTGTATAAATGTTGTTCGTTTAAGGTGTCATAAAAAATATTGTTTGAACATTATTTTCTCACGCTGTTTTTCTTTTTCGTTTTTTTTTTTTTTTTGGTTTCTATAAGAAAATTGATTTTTTTGTTGTGGGGCCCAGGAAAACTTGTATTAATATAATTTGGCCTACAAAACGTAAAATAACAACAACATACATTAACAATTTATGTTTTTCTAGATATGTATGTATGTGTGTTTATGTTCTCACACACACATTCTGATACATACAAATCACTTGCACTTGTTTTATTAAAGTTTTATTTTTATTTGTGTTTTGTTGCTGTTTTTGTTTCTTTTTTATCTCTCTTTTGTGTTTTTTTTTTCTAATTCACAGGATCGTTGCTTGTTACGTAACTTTTAAGTTACAATTGTTGTCTTAACTATGTTTTGTTGTTGTTTGTTGGTGGGTTAGTTGGTTGTTTGGTTCGTTGATTCGTTGCTTAAACTATTGTTGGTTTTGTTTATTCATTTGTTTGCATCTGTCAGAGCTTTTAAAGTATTTAAAGGGTGGCGTTTTTTTCGCTAAGCTTCTAAGGACTTTGAACAAAACAATCTACAGTTCTATATATTTAAATTTTTAAACATTATTTTTTCTTTCTTAATTTTGTATAATTATGTTTTTTATCCCCATACCAACATGTTTCCATTCACAATTTCCCATCCCTGACATTGGCAATAACAAAACAATAACAATTTTTAACAGAATTTTTAGAGGTTCTCTCGGATTTTTTCTCATATCTCCATTGATTATGGACCGATTTTGCTGATTTTAAATAGGAAACTTTTCAAAAGCATGTCTAGCAGAATTATTAAATGTTTGGATGCCAACGGTATCTAGGGTTTTCGGAAAATTGATTTTAACACAGACAGGCAAACGATCATAAGGAAGGACGTGCATGATCACAGATAGCAGACACAGAATTTGTCTAGAATGTTGAAGAATCTCGAGGGATTTAACCGAGAAGTAATGCAAAGAGAACTGAGAATCAAATACGACCACTTGGAATACTGAAACATTATACCTAACCTAACGAGAAGAGGATGAGAAGTTTTCTCAGAATGTTCAAGTCTGGGTATGATGGTACGTATTGTGAGTGGACACACTAGATTAAGGGCGCAACTATATACAATTTGACGAGTGGATTCAGACAGTGATACTCTGGAACACATTCTCTAGCTTTCATCGATATTTCAGATATATGTAAATATCTTTCATTGGAAAATGTCAGAGAACTACGTTTAGGAAACAGAGTTTTTGAACATCGGAATCCAACATTTTCAATATAAAGGAGTGCACAAAAGGCCCGTTAATGATTCAATCTGAATCAAATTTTCTTAAAATTCCAAAAATTTATAAAATTCTAATTAAAACATTCCATTCACAATAACAGCACGTTCAAAATTATCAAAAATCTATAATTTATTTTGTATTTTAATAAAAATTAATATTTGTAAAAATTTAATTTGTTTTCTCAAATTGTTTATAACACGTCGTAGCAATAAATAGAAACCAAATGAACAACCATAGTGCATAATCGAATGTACTATTCGAGCTTGGAAGAGCTTTTCAGAGAATTTAGAAACTAGTAAATTTTTTCTTTAAATTAACACATTTTATTTTTAATCTTTTAGAAGATTAGAAGATTTAGAAGTTAAGAACAAAATGTTGTATTTTTTAAACTTTTAACTTATGAAGTAGCAAATTCCTAAATATTAAAATCCCCAAAAAGCTTGTCAAATATTTAAAATATTTTTTTGTATTTATTTTTCTCACAACAATTAACAAAATTTCTTAATAAAGCAAAAATAAATGACAGTTATTGTTATATTTTTAAGATATTGAAAAAATAAACGATTTGATTCTTTAATGAACTGCTTTACAGTTCAAGTTTTTTATTCATATTTTTTGGTTTTAGTTGGGTTGGTTTAGTATTAAGTTTAAGTTTTGTTTGAAATTCATACTAAGAGACCCTTGCTTATTCTTGCGCGCTTTTTTCTGTGTTTTTTTTTTTTTTTTTTTTTTTTTCTTTAAATTTTATTTGTATTTCATTCACTTAGTTTATCTACAGTTTAACTACAAATACACAACACACACCAGTCAAATACAAAAACACATTTTCATACTAGTTAAAAAAATGAAAAATTTATTTGAAAAAAATCCCAAAAAAGATGAGGAGAAGTAAAAAATATAAAACACTTATGCAACACATGTAATTTAAATCAATCACTTTTTTTTCAAATTGATTTTTGAATATTTTTTGCTTATATTTTTATTTATTTTTTGATAAATGATAATGATGATGTTTAAACATACAATTAACAAAATTGTTTCAAATTAGCTTGTTTTGTTAATCACTAAATATTATTTGTTTTTTTTTTTTTTTTCAAACAATTAGTTTCCAATATTTGTTTATTATTCCAATTCATTAAAGTATTTAAATTTTTTCTTTAAATTTATTTCATTTTTTGTTTTGTTTGTTTATTAATCCGTAGCACGTCGTGCACCTTAAGGCACTGAACCTTTACTAACTCAGTGTATTAGAGTTGGTTTGTGGTTTCTCAACGCTTAATACCAGAAGTAGAGGAAAAATGCATGAAAATTCAAAATAAAGCTTTCATTTTCCTCCAGCAGCTTAACAAAAAAATAAACACGACCATAAACCGACACACATATCCACAACAGCGTATACACACACCTGTATGTTTGTATAGACTCTTTAAATTTAAGCTCCAGCTTAACTTTATTTTATTTACTGTTAAGTTCTCAAAAGCTTTAAACCACTGTTGTAAAAGCACACTTGTGTAAACAATTTGTTTATTATTTTTTAATTTTATTGATGTTATTTCTTTTAAAGAAAGAGAATTAAGTATTTAAGAGAAGTATAGTTAATGGGTTAATTCAAAACTCTCTTAACAATAGGGCAAATACATACATACATATGTATGTATGTATATGATATCAATGATTTTATTTGTGGGATATTTTAACTCTGGGGCGTATACATAATTTTAATTAATTTGTACTAGAACTGAACTAGAACTGAACTAGAACTGAACTAGAACTGACTGAACTAGAACTGAACTAGAACTGAACTAGAACTGAACTAGAACTGAACTAGAACTGAACTAGAACTGAACTAGAACTGAACTAGAACTGAACTAGAACTGAACTAGAACTGAACTAGAACTGAACTAGAACTGAACTAGAACTGAACTAGAACTGAACTAGAACTGAACTAGAACTGAACTAGAACTGAACTAGAACTGAACTAGAACTGAACTAGAACTGAACTAGAACTGAACTAGAACTGAACTAGAACTGAACTAGAACTGAACTAGAACTGAACTAGAACTGAACTAGAACTGAACTAGAACTGAACTAGAACTGAACTAGAACTGAACTAGAACTGAACTAGAACTGAACTAGAACTGAACTAGAACTGAACTAGAACTGAACTAGAACTGAACTAGAACTGAACTAGAACTGAACTAGAACTGAACTAGAACTGAACTAGAACTGAACTAGAACTGAACTAGAACTGAACTAGAACAGAACTAGAACTGAACTAGAACTAGAACTGAACTAGAACTGAACTAGAACTGAACTAGAACTGAACTAGAACTGAACTAGAACTGAACTAGAACTGAACTAGAACTGAACTAGAACTAAACTAGAACTGAACTAGAACTGAACTAGAACTGAACTAGAACTGAACTAGAACTGAACTAGAACTGAACTAGAACTGAACTAGAACTGAACTAGAACTGAACTGGAACTGAACTGGAACTGAACTAGAACTAGAACTAGAACAGAACTAGAACAGAACTAGAACAGAACTAGAACAGAACTAGAACAGAAGTAGAACAGAACTAGAACAGAACTAGAACAGAACTAGAACAGAACTAGAACAGAACTAGAACAGAACTAGAACAGAACTAGAACAGAACTAGAACAGAACTAGAACAGAACTAGAACAGAACTAGAACAGAACTAGAACTGAACTAGAACTGAACTAGAACAGAACTAGAACAGAACTGGAACAGAACTAGAACAGAACTAGAACAGAACTAGAACAGAACTAGAACATAACTAGAACAGAACTAGAACAGAACTAGAACAGAACTAGAACAGAACTAGAACAGAACTAGAACAGAACTAGAACAGAACTAGAACAGAACTAGAACAGAACTAGAACAGAACTAGAACAGAACTAGAACAGAACTAGAACAGAACTAGAACAGAACTAGAACAGAACTAGAACAGAACTAGAACAGAACTAGAACAGAACTAGAACAGAACTAGAACAGAACTAGAACAGAACTAGAACAGAACTAGAACAATAGAAACTAGAAGGAACTAGAACAGAACTAGAACAGAACTAGAACAGAACTAGAACAGAACTAGAACAGAACTAGAACTGAACTAGAACTGAACTAGAACTGAACTAGAACTGAACTAGAACTGAACTAGAACTGAACTAGAACTGAACTAGAACTGAACTAGAACTGAACTAGAACTGAACTAGAACTGAACTAGAACTGAACTAGAACTGAACTAGAACTGAACTAGAACTGAACTAGAACTGAACTAGAACTGAACTAGAACTAGAACTGAACTAGAACTGAACTAGAACTGAACTAGAACTGAACTAGAACTGAACTAGAACTGAACTAGAACTGAACTAGAACTGAACTAGAACTGAACTAGAACTAGAACTGAACTAGAACTGAACTAGAACTGAACTAGAACTGAACTAGAACTGAACTAGAACTGAACTAGAACTGAACTAGAACTGAACTAGAACTGAACTAGAACTGAACTAGAACTGAACTAGAACTGAACTAGAACTAGAACTGAACTAGAACTGAACTAAAAACTTGATTACAATTACTCTAAAATCTTTGTTGAGTTACTTTAACCAAAATTTTATTATTGGCTAATAAATTATTTCTTTGTCAAATATTATATTTTTATTCAATTTATTATTAAATCACTCATGTGCTTCATATTATTAAAGTTAGAAATACTTCAAATCTAAATAATTTGTATAGTATTAACTTACCAATTCCTGATTTGATCTTCAGCTTTATGTTTTTCCAGTTGAAAATTGGAGTTGGTAGTTTTCGGTTTTTCCAGAGAGCTCATATTTTTAAAACGGGAATTTTATTTTTGTATTATTGATAAACACTTTATGTATTTAATTAATTAAAAATAGTGTTTAAATTTGGTTTCAATAATTGGTTTGTATTTGCTTTAATTTTTGTTTATTGGTTATAGCACATATTTGCAACTTTTATTATTTTTTTTTATAACTGTTTGAAGCATAAAAAATATTTGAAAAGGTATTAAAATTTTGTTTAAAAATTACAAATTAGGCACATATTTCCGGCGTTTATCACTTTTTTCACTATTTCTTAAACACTGTGCAAAAATATTTTACAATGAATTAAAATGTTACTTTATGAATGATTCAACTTTTTAAGAATTGTATAGAAAAACAAAACGTGTAGTAAGTACAGATAGTTCCACACTAAAAAAATTTAAACCCACTAGCGCCTATGTTTCTTGCTTTTTCTATTATTTTTCTTCTGTTTCTTGCGAGTGTGCCAAAATATTAAAATATAATAACGGTACATTGGAGAAACACCCAAACTCCTCTCCTCAAAAAAAAAACACTCAACACACAACTTACAATTTTTTGCATAAAAATTTTCAAGGTCATATATGATCAATATTCCAAGAGCAAACAACACTTAACAACGAGTGCAATTGAGAGTGACAATACACACAAACATACTCATGCAAATTGTTGTTAGATAGCAACAACAATAACAAAAACGACAACATTACGACTGAGGAAAAAAGTAGGAGCAGTTTTATTTGACAGATATATTGACTGAAGTAAACGTAACTAACCATAAGAATGATAAAAAATATTAATGTGAATAGTTAAAAAACAACAACAAAACCGATAAATGTACGATCTCAGTCAGATCTCTACTACGGAAAAAACAGGTTACATTAGTGACCGCAAAACTGACTTGTAAGGTTGTTTATGGATGTCGTAGTTAAAGTTGTTGTTGTTGCTGTTTTTATTACTATATTTCATTTCAGTGAGGGGGAGTTAAAATACAATATTGGTTAAGATGTTAAGTATTTTCTGTGAGTAAACAGAAGATACGTTTCCGAAGAGTATCTTTTAGAAGTGATGGTTGTTCCTTACACATCGCAGAACAGAACTAGAACAGAACTAGAACAGAACTAGAATAGAACTAGAACAGAACTAGAACAGAACTAGAATAGAACTAGAACAGAACTAGAACAGAACTAGAATAGAACTAGAACAGAACTAGAACAGAACTAGAATAGAACTAGAATAGAACTAGAACAGAACTAGAACAGAACTAGAATAGAACTAGAACAGAATTAGAACAGAACTAGAACAGAACTAGAATAGAACTAGAACAGAACTAGAACAGAACTAGAACAGAACTAGAACAGAACTAGAACAGAACTAGAACAGAACTAGAATAGAACTAGAACAGAACACTAGAACAGAACTAGAACAGAACTAGAACAGAACTAGAACAGAACTAGAACAGAACTAGAACAGAACTAGAACAGAACTAGAACAGAACTAGAACAGAACTAGAACAGAACTAGAACAGAACTAGAACAGAACTAGAACAGAACTAGAACAGAACTAGAACAGAACTAGAACAGAACTAGAACAGAACTAGAACAGAACTAGAACAGAACTAGAACAGAACTAGAACAGAACTAGAACAGAACTAGAACAGAACTAGAACAGAACTAGAACAGAACTAGAACAGACTAGAACGAACAAGAACAGAACTAGAACAGAACTACAACAGAACTAGAACAGAACTAGAACAGAACTAGAAAAGAACTAGAACAGAACTAGAACAGAACTAGAACAGAACTAGAACAGAACTAGAACAGAACTAGAACAGAACAAGAACAGAACTAGAACTAGAACAGAACTAGAACAGAACTAGAACAGAACTAGAACAGAACTAGAACAGAACTAGAACAGAACTAGAACAGAACTAGAACAGAACTAGAACAGAACTAGAACAGAACTAGAACAGAACTAGAACAGAACTAGAACAGAACTGGAACAGAACTAGAACAGAACTAGAACAGAACTAGAACAGAACAAGAACAGAACTAGAACAGAACTAGAACAGAACTAGAACAGAACTAGAACAGAACTAGAACAGAACTAGAACAGAACTAGAACAGAACTAGAACAGAACTAGAACAGAACTAGAACAGAACTAGAAGAGAACTAGAACAGAACTAGAACAGAACTAGAACCGAACTAGAACAGAACTAGAACAGAACTAGAACAGAACTAGAACAGAACTAGAACAGAACTAGAACAGAACTAGAACAGATCTAGAACAGATCTAGAACAGAACTAGAACAGAACTAGAACAGAACTAGAACTAGAACAGAACAAGAACCAGAACTAGAACAAGAACTAGTACAGAACT